AACTGAAAAGGCTCCCAGAGTGGCAGCTCTACACAGGGCTGTTTGTGGCTTTGGCTGCTTTCACCCCCATGACAACCTTGGGGACAGGTATTTTATAGATGAGGCACAGGTCACTTAGCTTGTTCAAGATGACTCAGGAAGCTGCAAAGTTAGCCACATCTGTCTGATGCAGTACATGTGATGGCAAGGGTTCTAAAAGTTGAAATGTTCTAGTTCTGTAAAAAATGCCATTGGTAGTTTGATAGGGATTGCATTGAATCTGTAGATTGCTTTGGGTAGTAGAGTCATTTTCACAATGCTGATTCTTCCAATCCAAGAACATGGTATATCTCTCCATCTATTTGTATCATCTTTAATTTCTTTCATCAGTGTCTTTTTTTTTTTTTCGGTACGCAGGCCTCTCACCGCTGTGGCCTCTCTCGTTGCGGAGCACAGGCTCCGGATGCGCAGCCTCAGCGGCCATGGCTCACGGGCCCAGTCGCTCCGCAGCATGTGGGATCCTCCCGGACCAGGGCACGAACCCGCATCCCCTGCGTCGGCAGGCGGACTCCCAATCACTGCGCCACCAGGGAAACCCTCATCAGTGTCTTATAATTTTCTGCATATAGGCCTTTTGTCTCCTTAGGTAGGTTTATTCCTAGATATTTTATTCTTCTTGTTGCAATGGTAAATGGGAGTGTTTTCTTAATTTCACTTTCAGATTTTTCATCATTAGTGTATAGGAATGCAAGAGATTTCTGTGCATTAATTTTGTATCCCGCTACTCTACCAAATTCATTGATTAGCTCTAGTAGTTTTCTGGTAGCATCTTTAGGATTCCCTATGTATAGTATCATGTCATCTGCAAACAGTGACAGCTTTACTTCTTCTTTTCCGATTTGGATTCCTTTTATTTCTTTTTCTTCTCTGATTGCTGTGGCTAAAACTTCCAAAACTATGTTGAATAATACTGGTGAGAGTGGACAACCTTGTCTTCTTCCTGATCTTAGTGGAAATGGTTTCAGTTTTTCACCACTGAGGACCATGTTGGCTGTGGGTTTGTCATATATGGCCTTTATTATGTTGAGGAAAGTTCCCTCTATGCCTACTTTCTGCAGGGTTTTTATCATAAATGGGTGTTGAATTTTGTTGAAAGCTTTCTCTGCATTTATTGAGATGATCATATGGTTTTTCTCCTTCAATTCGTGAATATGGTGTATCACGTTGATTGATTTGCGTATATTGAAGAATCCTTGCATTCCTGGAATAAACCCCACTTGATCATGGTGTATGATCCTTTTAATGTGCTGTTGGATTCTGTTTGCTAGTGTTTTGTTGAGGATTTTTGCATCTATGTCCATCAGTGATATTGGCCTGTAGTTTTCTTTCTTTGTGACATCTTTGTCTGGTTCTGGTATCAGGGTGATGGTGGCCTCATAGAATGAGTTTGGGAGTGTTCCTCCCTCTGCTATATTTTGGAAGAGTTTGAGAAGGATAGGTGTTAGCTCTTCTCGACCAAAAAATTTCACAATTTGTATGGAAACACAAAAGACCCCAAATAGCCAAAGCAATCTTGAGAACAAAAAATGGAGCTGGAGGAGTCAGGCTCCCTGACTTCAGACTATACTACAAAGCTACGGTAATCAAGACAGTATGGTACTGGCACAAAAACAGAAATATAGATCAATGGAACAGGATAGAAAGCCCAGAGATAAACCCACGCACATATGGTCACCTTATCTTTGATAAAGGAGGCAAGAATATACAGTGGAGAAAAGACAGCCTCTTCAATAAGTGGTGCTGGGAAAACTGGACAGGTACATGTAAAAGTATGAGATTAGAACACTCCCTAACACCATACACAAAACTAAGCTCAAAATGGATTAAAGACCTAAATGTAAGCCAGAAACTACCAAACTCTTAGAGGAAAACATAGGCAGAACACTCTATGACATAAATCACAGCAAGATCCTTTTTGACCCACCTCCTAGAGAAATGGAAATAAAAACAAAAATAAACAAATGGGACCTAATGAAACGTCAAAGCTTTTGCACAGCAAAGGAAACCATAAACAAGACCAAAAGACAACCCTCAGAATGGGAGAAATTATTTGCAAATGAAGCAACTGACAAAGGGTTAATCTCCAAAATTTACAAGCAGCTCATGCAGCTCAATAACAAAAAAACCAACAACCCAATCCAAAAATGGGCAGAAGACCTAAATAGACATTTCTCCAAAGAAGATATACAGACTGCCAACGAACACATGAAAGAATGCTCAACATCATTAATCATTAGAGAAATGCAAATCAAAACTACAATGAGATATCATCTCACACCGGCCAGAATGGTCATCATCAAAAAATCTAGAAACAATAAATGCTGGAGAGGGTGTGGAGAAAAGGGAACCCTCTTGCACTGCTGGTGGGAATGTAAATTGATACAGCCACTATGGAGAACAGTATGGAGGTTCCTTAAAAAACTACAAATAGAACTACCATACGACCCAGCAATCCCACTACTGGGCATACACCCTGAGAAAACCATAATTCAAAAAGAGTCATGTACCAAAATGTTCATTGCACCTCTATTTACAATAGCCAGGAGATGGAAGCAACATAAGTGTCCATCATCGGATGAATGGATAAAGAAGATGTGGCACATATATACAGTGGAATATTACTCAGCCATAAAAATAAATGCAATTGAGTTATTTGTAGTGAGGTGGATGGACCTAGAGTCTGTCATACAGGGTGAAGTAAGTCAGAAAGAGAAAAACAAATACCGTATGCTAACACATATATACGGAATCTAAGAAAAAAAAAAAAAGGTCATGAAGAGCCTAGGAGTAAGACGGGAATGGAGACGCAGACCTACTACAGAATGGACTTGAGGATGTGGGGAGGGGGAAGGGTAAGCTGTGACAAAGTGAGAGAGTGGCATGGACATATATACACTACCAAACGTAAAATAGCTAGCTAGTGGGAAGCAGCCGCAAAGCACAGGGAGATCGGCTCGGTGCTCTGTGACCACCTAGAGGGGTGGGATAGGGAGGGTGGGAGGGAGGGAGACGCAAGAGGGAAGAGATATGGGAACATATGTATATGTATAACTGATTCACTTTGTTGTAAAGCAGAAACTAACACACCATTGTAAAGCAGTTATACTCCAGTAAAGATGCTAAAAAAATAAAAAGTTGAAAGGTTGATAGTGACATAAGCATTCTATTTCCGGAGAGAGCCGAGCAGGGAGCCTCAAGCTCCTCGCCTTGAACTCAGCCACCCTCCCTCTGCCTCCTGTATTTCTTTACTGAGAGCACTCACAGGTTATCAACAGGGTCACTAGGGTCTCTAAATAAATATGCTCTAAATAAACACTACCCCCTTGCTTATGCCTGATTTGGCAAAAGGCCTCTGATAGGGGCCACACTCTGGACCCTGCTTTACCATTTCTGAAGCATTTTGGCATAGCATCATCAATGCTATGAAGTATTATGGCCCCCATTCTATGATAAGAAAACAGGCCCACAGAGGTAGAATGACATATCCAAGATCACACAGCTAGGTTTCCAGGCTCTGAGGTCAGTTTAGGGCTCCCTTTGGCCCACTCTCTACCCACCTAGGCCCTCTCCCCCAAATCCCTGGGAGGTGGGTCGGGGGAGCTCAGGCTGACAGAGCATCTCAAACCAGGCCCACGGGGGCTGGAGGCTCAGAGGGCTTGAGGCTGTGAGGTTTGATCTCTCTCCGCCCTCTTCTCAGACTTAAAGGTAGAGAAGATTCCAAAGGTCCCTCCTCTAGGCTCAGCCTTTCCCCGCCTGCCCCTCAGGCTGAAGGGCCGTGTTTTACTCCACCCTCCGGAATGTACCCCCCCTCCACCCCCGCACCTCAGGGCACCACTTGTCTTTGTTAACTGCCGTTTCCTCAGTGCATGACCACCTAGAGGGGTGGGACAGAGAGTGTGGGAGGGAGGAAGACGCAAGAGGGAAGAGATATGGGAACATATGTATACGTATAACTGATTCACTTTGTTATAAAGCAGAAACTAACACACCACTGTAAAGCAATTATACTCCAATAAAGATTTTAAAACAAACAAACAGTGCACACACTGGCACACAGCAGGTGTTCAATAAATATTTGCTGGATGCCCCCAAAGCTTAGAAGTCTTCATGTTTCTGCCCTGAAATGAACACCGAGTTAGGGGAAAAGAGAACTAACTGCTGACTCCTACTCCATGTTAGGCAGTAGTGTCTGGACCAAGGCCCCCAGTCTAGCCCAGCTGTGGTCCCGACTCCCTGTGCCAGGCCGAGCAGGGCAGAGAGGGGGCACTGTGCTGGCCTCCTCTGTGCCAGGCACCGGGTCCGGCTGTGGAGTCGGGGAACCCAGGTTCGTATCGTGACCTCCTTCTCAGCGGTGTGGTCTTGGGGAAATTCCCTCATCTCTCTGAGCCTCAGCTTACCCAAGTGTAAAATCCACTGCAAAGTTAGTAGCAGTAATTCATCCTCCTCTAACAGCAGGGGTCAGGATGAGGCGACCTGGGCTCCCTGTGACACTGGGGCCGGGGCTTTTCTGCAGAGGTTATTCCCAACCTCCCTCCCCCGCCCCCCAGGGAATTCTCAGTTTAGGTGTGTCCTGTGAGCTCAGAGGTCTGGAGGGGCAAGGAGAGGGGGGTGAGGGGCGCTGGAGGGGCCGCGTGAGCCAAGTGGAAGCCCACTGACCCCGGGTGACCTTGGGCAAGTCCCTTCCACTCCCTGGCCCGGACCAGCGTCCTCATTTATCAAGGGAGGCAGCGGACGCCTGAGTGCTGCGCCCGGCCTCAGTTTCCCCATCTGCTGCCCGGGCGTGTGGTTCCTACGTGCACTTCCGGCTCGGAAGGAAAACAAGCAACCACACGGAGGCCTTGACTCCGGGGAGGTCGGCGCGGAGGGCGGGGCGGGGGCAAAGAGTCCGCAGGCCGAGCCAGCCGGGAGTGGGGCTCCCCGCGCGGAGCCGGCGCGGTGGCGGCGGGGAGCGGGCCTCTTACCTGAAGGTGGCGGCGAAGGCGACAGCGAAGGCGGCCCGGCTGCCCCGGCCCCGCCCCTCCTTCCCTTCCTCCCTCCCTCCCCCCGCGCGGGTCCCGACTGGTCCTGACGCCGCGCCGCCCGCCCCGTGCGCGCCTGGTCCTTCCGGGCTCCGGGCTCCGGGCTCCGAAACGCGTGTCCCAAGCCGCTTGCCCCGCCGCCACCCCGCCAGAGGGTGCCGGCTTCAGGAAGTGACGGGCCAGCCCGGCGCGAAACTCGGTTTGTGGGTCTGTTCGCCTTCGGGGAAGCCACAGGGCTTCGGCTCTGCGGAAACTGCTTGCCAGGGGCTCGGTCGTCAAAATTAAATCAGGTGCAATCAAAGAACCAGGCACAGAAGCAGTCTTCCCGCATGTGTATACAGTGCTTGGAAGTTTACTGAGTGATGAGATATCCATGCGCTCCCTGAGTTTTCTTTCAGTTTCTTTAACGCCAAGTTTGGTCTGGTCTCAGGGCCTTTGCGTTTGAGGTTCCCGTGCCTGGCCCTGTGGCCCCAGCTCTCCACTCCGGTGTCCACGCAGGGTGGCATCTGTGAGGCTTCCCTGACCACCCAGCACGTTCAGCCAGAGAACAAATACTTCCTGAGCAACTACTATGTGCCAGGTACTGTTCTAAGTTCTGGGGAATCCCACTCCAGGCGCGCAGTCCTGTTCTGTGTCAATCGCAGTACTTCTCACTCTGTGGAATTGTTTGGTTTATCTTCCTGTTGGCAGTTGATTGCCTGCCATCCCCACTAGAATTTAAAAGCCTGGAGAGTCCTCTGCTGTGTGCCCAGCCCCAGGGAACGTGCCTGGCACTTGACAGGTGCTCAGAATCGTATAATGAATGCATGAATGCATCTCATTCCTCTAGCAATCCTGTGAATCTCATCACAACTGTGCTACACGAAAGGAAACCGAGGCTCAGGTCGAGGCTGTGCAGAAGCCACAGAACTAATGATGAGTGCCAGAGCTGGAGTGTGAATCATTGTGGCCACAAGGTTGTTACTGTTTCTCCAGGTAAAGACAGCCCAGTACCGTAAACAGAAAAGGCACTGGCCAGGGTCAGAGACCAGCTTCCAATACAAAGTCTGTGACTCATGCTTCTTGTGGAATGCCCTAGGCCTCTGTCTCCTCGTCTCTCCACTGGCCACTCAGGACCAAGAACAGCAGCTCTACCTACCTACAAGGCCATTGTGAGGGTCAAATGGGTTAATAGCGTGCACCCTTCAGGGGCATAGGGGCTATATCTGAGCACGTGGGTCTTGTCAATTGCAGTATTAATAACCACATGGAAGTGGACGCCAGCAGAAAACCTCCAGCCATCCCTCCTTCGCTCAGTGTCTGGTGGCCCCTTCTAGCCAGATTGGCTCTGTGGGACCAGGCACCATTTTGCACAACAGCCTTGCCCCGTCTCTAGTTCGAGAGAGGTTCTGTGTTAAACACTGTTGACTCCAGACTTTGGATCTGTTACAGCCCTGCCCAGTGCCCATCCCTCACCTCAGTCCCCGCCACTGAACAGCACACGGGAGCTAATCCAGAATCAAGGCTACAGGAAGGAAAAGTGGAGAAAGTATATTTACCCCTCCGGTGTATGCCTTTGAGATTTTTGAGGTTTGGTGTTAGACACTGAAGAATTTACTCTCCTCCTCTGTAAAATGAGGATAATTATGACCCCTTCAAGTGCTGTCATGAGGATGAAATGAGGACATGCAGGTAAAGTGCTTTGAATGGTGTCTGGCACACAGGACATGCTCAGTAAGAATTAGCTGCTTTCATTCTTGGTAAAAGATACTTCTGCTAAGAAGTCTTCTGTCAGCTCCTCCGGAAGGAATGGTTAGGGGTTTGTGCTGGAAGGAAAAGCCCTTTGGTGGCGGTGTGTGCAGGGGGCAGGCGCAGTTCCCTGCTTTTGCTCCCAGCTCTTCAGAAGTGGCGGTTGGTCTTTTTGGTCTTTTTGTATCTTGTTGTCCAGAATTTGCCCCAACTGCACAGGCATGCAGTTATTTTTAGTCCCTTATAGTTTCTTTGTATTTTGCTCCTTGAGGAGACATTCGTCCAGGTGCAAGCACTGCAGCAAAGGGTCCCAGGTTCCAGGTCCCAGCCTGTCTCACAGGCAGCCAGCAACTGCAAAGCTGTGGAGAGGAAGAAGGTGGTTGACACTTTCAAGGAAAAGCCTGGAGTGGAGAGAGCTGGGGGAGAGGAATAGATGAGCTTAGAGAGGCAATGAGGGCCATGTCACTGTGAGCTTTATAAAAAGGCTGATGCTTGGGCCTAGGGTTGCGAGGCTTAGCAAATGAAAATGCAGGATACCCAGTGACACTGGAATTTCAGAAACACAAGAAATAAATACCTCTTTAGTACAAGTATCTCCCACTATTTCCCAGGGCATACTTATACTAAAAAGTTATTCATTGGGTATCTGAAATTTCAATGTAACTGGGTGTCCTCTGTTTTATCTGGCAACCCTGCTTGGGCCCCACCCCTAGAGATTCTGATTCTGTTGGTCTGGGGTCAGGCCAGGCCTAGTTATTGTTCACAAGCTCACCAGGTATTTCTAACGTGTGCCCAGGAGCCACTGATGTAGGGCCTTGTTTATGGATTTTATTCTGTATGAAATGGAGAGTTGTATAAGGTTTGGGGCAGCAATGTGACATATTTTCACCTTTTCAAAGGATCCCACTGGCTCCTGGTGGTGGACTAATGGATAAGAGTGGGCGCGGGTGACTGCTTCGGAAGCTGTTTCAACGGTCCAGGTCGGGGAAGGGACCTGTATTTGTTGAGTGCCTACTATGGGCTAGGTACAATAAAAGTATATCATGGAGGCATAGGTTCCTGGGTCCTGCCCCTCACCAAACCAGTTTAGAATTTCTCAGGGGTGTGGAAGCCTAGAAGTTTATATTTTTAACAAGTTGCCCTGGTGATTCTGGTGTTCAATCAGAAGAACCAATTAGAAGAACCAATTGATTGGATTTGATTCTTCCAGAAATTACAGAAATAACCATGAATATTGTTCAGGGACCATTATCCTTGTGGCTGGTTCTTCATGTCCCATACATACACACTTTATATCATTTAATCCTGTGCTATTATTAGCCCCACTTCACAGAGGAAAGAACTGAGGCTCAGCGGGGTTAAATAACTTGGGCAGGGTCACCGAGCTACAAGATGGCAGAGCCAGGATTTAATCCCAGATCTGGTTGGCTCTGCTATCCTGCCATCCCATAGGCTCAAACATCAGTACGGGTTCAAAGATACTTAGATGGCTTTTGGATGATGGCTCCCCAAAAGAAGGAGGCTCCTTTGCTATGCTCCATTGATGTCTGTCCTTCCGGGATGTGAGTGGGGGCTGGCCTGGCATGAGCCTTTGTTGAATGGTACTGAATTCTGGGGGTGACGTCACTGAAAGCAACCCCACATCCCTTCCCGTAGAATATCCTTATGATGCCGTTGTGCTGAACTTGAGACTGAGTGACACAGAAGCTCGTTTATGGTCACTTCTTTCCTAATGGCACTCAAATAAGCAGGGCTACCATGGGGAGGGACTGGACACAACCACAGAGGAAGGTCAGGGTGGAGGGTGCTGTGGATGGTTTCTGGTTACTATGGCTATTGTTACATCGCTGAGCAGTTTCTTGTTTGTTCTAAGGTCTCTTTGACCCAAAGAACTAAACATCTCTCTGTTAATGGGACCATCAGCTAGAACTGGCCAATCTAAGTGGCAGCATTTAGGGTCAAAGACACTTGGGTTAGTATTTTCCCCCATTGTTCTTGTCTGTTAGGTAATAATTTTGTAGTCTTCTGCCTTATCTCTTACACAGAAGTTTGAGTGATGACCCTCTACCTGCTTCTCATCTAAGAATGCTTTGCACTTACCCCTGAACTGATCTGCACTGATATGGATCTCAGTGCATGAGACCCATATCACTGGTGGTACACAAGATATCTTCAGCTGGTACATGAACTTGCATTAAATCACCTTGAATGATGCATGAGAAAGTTATTCCCTTTAATCCTTATTCTACTGAGAACACAGTTTGATGCTATGGAATCTTTTTTGTTGTTGTTGAGGTACAATTTTTATTTGTTTCTGATAAACTAATAATCAAGGCCATTAATTAAACTCATATTTAAACCATTTTTCTTTGTGACTTACAGGTTCACAAACACACAAAAAGTATATATACTTCTTTTTTAAAAACAACTTTATTGAGATATCTTTGACTTACAAAATTATATATATTTGAGGTATACAATTTGAATTTTTGATAGTATTTGTATACCTTGTAAAAGATCATCCCTGTCAAGCTAAATAACTTAATCCATCATGTGTACGTAGTTATCATTTGTGTGTGTGTGCGCATGCGCGCGCGCGTCTGTTGAGAAGATTTGCTTTAAGATCTATCCTCTTAGCAAATTTCAAGTATACAATATAGTATTGTTACCTGTGGTCACCATGCTGTATATTAGATTTCCAGAACTCATAGTCATTCATCTTGCATAACTGAGACTTTGTACCCTTTGACCAACATGTCCTCATATCTCCCTTCTCCCTCCACGCAAACCCTGGCAACTACCATTCTACGCTCTGCCGCTATGAGTTTGACTATTTTAGATTACACACATAAGTGAGATCATACAGTATTTGTCTTTCGTGTCTGGCGTATTTCACTGAGCACAAGGTCCTCCAGGTTCATCCACGTTGTTGCAAGTGAGGCAATTTCCTTCTTTTTTTAAGGCTGAATAGTATGCCATTGTACTCCTATAACATTTGCTAATCTTCCTTTTTAACAAAGGGAGAACGGGCCTCAGCTCAGAGTCTTCGACTCTCCAAAATATTGAGTTAGGATTTAAACATCCTGTTATTTATTTATTTAATAACCTTTTTATTTTGGAAGAATTTTAGATTGACAGAAAAGTTCCAAAGACAGTACAGAATTCTTACCTAAGAATCATATAATGCTTCACCTTGTTTCCCCAGTGTTAACATCCTACATAACCATGGTACACGTTTCAAGACTGAGAAACCAATGTTGTAATAGGGAAGAACAAATCT